AGTACCTTGGTGAGTTCGATAATAGCTTGTAGGGCTGCAGTGTCCTCAATAAATTCCTCCTAAAATGGAAAAATAGTCCTTATCATGTCATCATGACATTATAACCATCATTATCATATATGTTAAGCCCGCCCCACACGATAGGAAAGTGCGTAAGGGAAATGCCACGCGAGGCGCTTTGAGCAGCGTTTTGCTCACTGTGAACAGCAAAAATTGGTGCACACACGCTGCTCAACGCGACTCGCGTGGCATTTCCCTTACGCACTTTCCTTTCGTGTGCGTTGGTCTTTCTCTCACCTTAACATCAGCATCCATGCTTAAAAATGACAATGCTTCAGCAGCCCATCGACGGAAATCCATTTCCTTTTTAGGTTTTGTGAGATATCTTGTAGAAGAGAGTATACAATATACAAACAAACCGTTGACTAATTCACAATATAATTACTCTTTATTAATGGTCTTACTTTCTAGCAGATTTATACAGTTTCAATGTCGCTCCTTCAGCAAAGGTCTGATCTTCAACTGACCCTCCTCCAGTTGTGCCCACTTTGCACAATCCCTATAGAAAGATACAGGTAGTTAAAGGCCCAGCTTGAACCATCATGCTTTGCGAACCTCTGTTATTGTTATGATTTACACCAAAATACTTCTAGTATCCAAATATCACCGTAAAACGAAGTACGATGGTTGAAAACTCTAATATTATCGTTTAAGCTAAGAAAAGTGAGATGGTCAAAGATTCGAAACCCACAGTATATACTTTCGGTAAATTGAAAATGGCCGCCCAAGGTACCCAAAGCATGATGTTGCACACTGGTCCTTTAATTAACCACTAGAACTTTGTAAAGATCCATTCATAGAACGCTTTACTTACAACAAGAGCTCTAACCCGGACGCCATCATCTTTGGAGTGGTAAAGGTGTTTAAGAGCTGCAAGTCCCTAAAAAACAAAGCTTAGTAAGCTAAACGTTTATGTTACAGGGGCGGATCCAGGATTTTCCTCAGGGAGGGGTACGGGGATCTCAGGAGGGGGTGCACCCCGCAAAAATCATTAAACCATGAAGATAAAAAGTAAGGAAAGTATTGAAAGATACAGATCTCAGGATGGGGTGCACACCCCCTGCACCCACCAGCTGAATCCGCCCATG